CAACTGGCTGGGGAAGCCATATCCAACTTGGCTGAAAAATCGAGGGGTTCTTTGGCAAGCGCACTTGTTCTCACACTTCATGCTGGGCTCTGGGATGCTTCGCTTGTCGTTCGAGTAGAGGGACGGCGATAATTAGAAGATGCTAGGCCGTCAAGCACTGCGGCAGTTGGCCATGCGGCCTTTGGCAGCAGCTGCGGCCGTTGTGACTGCGCGCTCGAATGCACCGCGCTTGGCATGTGATGCAGCGCATCGGGCATGCTGGACCCTGGCTCGGGTGGGGTTGCCACAGCCTTCTCTTCTGCAGGCGCGCAGCAGCTTGGTTCGCCCAGCACCGCTGCTTCAAGGACAAATGCCAGTATCTGGGTTCTTGCAGCAGCAACAGCGCGGTCTTAAGACTCTAAAACGACAAATCAAGCGTCGCTACCGCGACCCTCCAAAGTACAAGATGAAGCGCAAAAAGGCCATGGCAGCGCGCTTCAAGATTGTCGGCAACGACAAGGTCAAGTACTGGCGTGCCGGGCGCGTGCACAACTCCTCGGGCAAGACCAAAAAACGCCTACGTCTCTTGCGCCGACCGGGTTACGCTGTTGGACCACGTCGAAAGACCATCCTTCGTGGTCTGCTCGGCTACAACTAAATTCCCAACGACTGCCCCTTTACTGCACATCGTGGACGTTGACTCGACCCCCTTTTTCAGTTTTTATCAGTGCCATGGTTGTGCCGGTTATCATTCAAGGATTCTCGGAGCTCACGCCCTCCAACGCTGCCCCATCAACATATTCTTTGTCACCCTCAGCTGATTCGGTCCCACTCTCTTTTTTTCCTTCCCCTTTTGCTTCAGTGCGTCTGCTGGGCGTGGCGGCTTTGTGTTCCTGGCCTTTTGCTTGCCCTTCTTGCTGAGGCCGGTTACACTGCAGCTTGGCGTGAGGGCAAACCTTTACGGGACCAAACATCCAATGGTGTAGGCGCACAGGGGTCTTCCTCTGGCCATGATGCTGTGCTTACTGACGCAAAATCTCCTCTCGTGTCACAAGGGTTTTTTTGTTCACATCTCACCCTCCCTCTCCAGACTAAAAACAAGAACAGACTCGGCATTCCGGGCCCTCTCAAATTTACAAATCAAAGCCCTTGTCTCTTTCACCCTTTCATGTCTTGCCGTGGGGCAAGCTGGCGCTTAAAATGACATGATACAGCGATAGTCAAGGTAACAACATCTCAGTTCCAGACATTATCTGGTCTTTTCACACAGGCGGCTGCGTTGGCGGAACCAGCTCGGCGTTTATAGCCTCACCATCTCGCAACAAAACAGAGGCAGGTTCCACTACACTGTTGCTTGAGAGCGTCGCGCCAAATCCAGAAGCCGAGTGCAGCCCCCGAGGCGCTCCAGGCACCGAAGGGCCACGCAGATCCTGTTGAATCACGCGCACACTGGCGGCATAGATACTGCTGCGCCGACAATTGTAGTCCAAACAGCGTCTATATAACCCATCCCATTAGATTCCTTGTCGGTATACTCGTGCCATGGTATCATAAGGCCGTTCTTTCGGGAAAATGGCACAATCAACGATGGTGGGGTGCAGCGGGCTTGCAAAAAACGCGTCAAAGGGTATGTAAAACCATAAACTTACGCTCGATGCCGATTGACCCAATGTTCCTTCATTTGTCGTAACTGATAGCGACCATCAACGCGCGCTGAGCCAATCGTTTTGAGGGGCTCGATCCGTGCATCCTGTGTGACCAAGGCTGTTGTGTCCCAAGTGCGTGGACCAATGTGAGATGGGAAAGCTGCGGCCGAAGGGGCCTTGACGGGGTATCCCCGCTTACAGGCACAGACACACAAGAAACTGTCAGACCTTGATCAATGTTGGACCGAGTCTCAGGCAGACGATTGGCAGCTTGGTCAAAGGCATTGGGCCAAAACTCCAGAGCCAATGCTGGAGCAGGTTCGAGTGGCAATGTTGGGCTGGGCAGATCAAACGCTGTAGCATCCTGAATGACCATGCAGCACACACAAAAGTCAGTTGCTCATCTGCTCGTCATCGGCTGCAATCCTGGGCATGCACCTGTGCTACTGGGGCTCGACGACGGCGAAGCCAATATCCTGAGGTGTCCATGTACATCCAACTTCGTGCAGCACTGTACAGGGCTGTTGTCTGAGCGGAGCAGATATTCGTGAGGCATCACCTGGCAATGGCTTTGGAATGCTGTGGGCAATGTTGCGACCAACCCACCGGAGATACGGCGGCCAGGTTAATGTCCTTGTCAAAGAGAGTCATGATATGTGGTGCTTTTGAGTAGCGTTGTTGGGCAGGAGACTGGATTTCATGGCGGTGACGCCTACGCGTTCGGGGGCGCCGCTTGCGATGGCTGGCTGGTGTCGCACTGTTACTGATAGCTGCCAATGCAGCCGTTGCCGCTGATTCAAGGTTGGCCACATCCTGCGGGCCACCATCGGCTTGAAAAGAACAAGTCATTCATCATGACACAGCGTGAGATCATGAAAACACCCTCAGAAGCGCCGCCCATGTACTAGAGACCCTGCAACGAGACCTACCCGCCGCCATGACCCCATCCAGCATCTCGGCCCGAGCGCTCATAGTTTGTGTTGAAAAAAAAAGAGAAAAAAACGGTTCTTGTTGAATTCGACGAAATTCATAAAAATTTGTACAGGGGATGTTTTAGAAGCAGATTAAATTTGCTGCGAGTTGTTTGCGAACCGCCTAGACCAAGATGATCTTGGGAGTCGCAAGGAGCCGGGCCAAGTCCTCGGCTCCATCGTAAACTGGCAGTTTATCGAGGTCGTGCCAATCAATGGTCGTGGGAAAAGTCATGCCCCACCGCATGAAGAAAGGACGCAGGTCACAGCCGGTTTCCTCTGAACACATGCGAACGAACAACGCTCGACGCGCGGCGTCGTCACTCGGCCAGGTCTCGCGCCCCTGGTCGTATTTCTCAAATACCCCCTCAAACAAAAGCCATCCAAAACTGTGCGTGTATGTCGCATGTGTGTGTGGGTGTGTGATTTTAGCAGCGTGTCAGTTCAGCGAAGGATGCACGCGGCAAGCAATGGAGGCAATTAGAGCGCAATTACCCACCGGTCTTGCAGCACCACATACATCCACAGAGCCAGCCCGGGGTCCTGCTGCCAAGATCTCCATTTGTCTACAGAAGGAAACACAAGATAGAAAACGGTGAATCGTGCAGAATAATGAATCAAAAGGAAAAAGACACAGAGTTAGCCACATGGTTTTGTTCACAGTGATCTGTCAACACACAAAAGCTGCCCGTGTCAAATCCAAGTGCACAAGAACATTCAACCTGGTCGGGTATCGTTGAGATACACAGCTACTTTGCTCTTGTGCTTAGCAAGCCAGGGGTGATGTACGGGCGTTAGGCCCACCACTCGATCCATGGCATTCAAAGTAAATAAGTTGACAGTCACCTTTTTTTTTTTTGGGGGGGGGGGGAGGGCCGGCGGGAGGGATTCGGGCCACACTAGATTAGCCAATCCGGCGCGTATTACCATAGGAGCAACACCACGCAGCTCAATTTTAACTGACCTCGCCTGCTCCCTCAAAAGTCCACACGCTCTCCTGCAGATTGTGACCTGAGAACAAAATGACAGACAACGAGGTGTGAGCCAGATACGCACTCTGTCGATGCAAAACAAAACTTCGCCGTATCAGCACCCTGCATGCTTCTGGTGTTCCGCACGCACCAAATTCGTGAAAAATGCCCCAGTTTCCTTCGCGCAGGAGCCGTTCCAGTTGCAGAGCTGTCGGCCCACCGTCCACAGCACCCTCGATTTGATCTAGATGAGCCATGACGGGATAACCAGAGTGCATGTAGCCCGCTGCGATCTGCACATCGAAAACTATTCGCTCTCGCCGAACCAAGGGGCCCAAACGCCGCAAATCACGGTGGGCGCGCAAAACATCATCCCAGAAGCGAAGAAGGCGTGGAATACGGTGGCCCAAGCGCTGTGCCGCCGGCGTGGGCACGGTGAGTATAATGTTGGCACCAGCCAATTCACACCACGGGACTTCACTGGTGCCTAGAGCCTGCAGATCTGCGGACACACTGGCTACCGTCGCGGTTGCTGGATGCATTTCAACACAGCTGGCCTTATGTACTTGCTCGAGATAAACCCGTGCAGTTAATGGGGCATCGGTACGATTTTGCAGGTACAGCAGGCCACCCCACGGATGAGCCAGCGAGCGAGTGACATCAGGAGTGACGGGCCAGACCCCCGAAATAGCCGGACCACGCTTCCAAGTGCCAGAGCAATGCCACAGCTCGTCTGCATGACAGCCAATTCGCAAGCTCACTGCATCTGCTGCAACATCGTTGACCAGGACGCGGAACGGCTCACCGCCATTCACCCAGGCTCGTAGAAACGCCCAGCCATTGGGTTCTATGACCAGGCCTTCGTGCAACACGTCGGTTGAAGCACTGGTGGGTTTGGTACATCCAGGAAACTGCGCTGCGTCGAAACTACATGGCACGGCGTGGCAAGGCAGCTGCTGCCATGATTGCGACAAGAGCAGGGCCTCGAGCCCACGGCGCAACTGGCTTTGTTGGGGGCTCGCTTCCAAGATAGTCTCAACTTGAGCAGTGATTGCAACTGTTGGATCTGTGGTTGGTAAGCTTGGTGCAAGATGCAATGGAAGACAACTCAGCATTTGTCGCACGGCTGCAAACAAAGTAGGCTCGTTGACTAGACGTCGAAGAAGCACGTCAAGCGAAAGTTGCTCTTGTGCAAGCGGGTCGCAAATTTCGCCGACTGTCGAAGGGGACGGGGGGTAAAACAGTTGGCCACTGAGATGACCGGGACCGTGAGGCGCATAGGCTTTGGAGAAGGCGAGTCCATGGCCACGCAGCACGTGGTTCTGAGCACAAGCGTCAGCTACAGAGACATCGCAAATCTGTGTCGTAGGCATACAAAAGATCAGGTGACATCGTGCATGTGCCAAGTAATAATGAGCTGCAACTGGGAACACAACAGTCGTGTACGGTGCACTTTTGGTGGACGGACCTGCTCAAACCCCCAAGGGCAAGTGGCGACGAGAAGGCCCATGGGTCGCTGGACTAGGGCATTGGTCAGCTCGGCGAAAGCAGGCATATCGTCAAGCAATGCGGCATCCCCACTACCCCGCTGACCAATCCAAATGACCACATCGGCGGTGGCCAAGGTGCCAGCCAGCAGTTGCTGGCCCTCCGGGCAAAGTGGTGCCAAGCACTCCAGCAAGGTTTCCAGTTGGCCGATGGCGCCTCCGAATGCAGCAACATGGATGGTAGGCTGATCATGGCCAAGCCAGCGAACCCAGTCCCTATCATTGCCGAGCAAAAGTGAGACGACGAATAAGCGAAGGTCACGCCATCCCCACCACTGGTGGTTCACATCCTTACATCAGCAGGGACGGTGCTCCCTCCAGTGCCGTGGCATTTTTTATATAGCCTTCATGGGCCAAAGCAATGGTACGCTGGCCAGAGACCGGGTCCTCGCGTCCGCCAGCCACGGCAGTCAGTTGATCTGAGGCGCTCGCGTTTTTGCTTGCAAGAGGCACCGAGAGTAGCTCATGCGCATGTGCATCTAACAGCACCACACATCCAGGCGTTCCCGAACGCGCCACCCGGATTCTGCTCTCCATATTTGGATGGTCCCGCGTCGTGGGCGCTTTTCCAGCCATGTCAATTGGCCGAGCGAGCCCCCTTCCGATCGCTCCGCTCTCCACTTGTCCCTGACTCGCGCGCTCAAAACTGACATGGTCAAGGCCGACGATTTTTGACATCCGGATCCAATTCTTAAATTTAAATCTAGATTCAAAGTTTTACATCTGCTGATAAACATCCAACATAAAGGATGACATTCACGATGATGATGATGCTTCGGGACGAAAGTAAGCACAAGAGAGGAAAAAGACGCAGCAGGATCTGACATTTTCAACAGTGGAGGTTGTTGTTGTTGTTTGCTGACCTTGACGACAAGAACCGCCACCACCCGCTGCCTTGTGCCGTAGATGGTATCAAGGCGCCTGCTACTGTGCTGTTGAACCGCATCTTCCAGGGGCTGTGCGTTGCGCCCCTTGCCCAACAAGAGAGCCAAGGAGAAAGCTGGGTCAGCTCCGGCATTGCCCACGCACGTCAACAGCGGCATGGCGTCCAAGGCGGGCGCCGCAGCTCCTGAGAAGGAGGCCATCAATTTTGTACATCAGCAAGCCATTCATGGTCAGAAGCTTGGGGTTCTCGCATTGCTTGCCAAGCTTCATCTCGCTGGGATACATGCTTCGGTCGCACTCACTCCCAGGATGCACCTCACAGCTGAAACTGTGAAAAAGGAGGCGCGCAACGGGCAGCTCTTTACTCAGTAAGCTTGTGCACCGCAAGTTCTGAGCCTGATGGGGCAATTCCTCTTACCATCATCCATACTGTTCCCGTGAACACCTTATAGATACACCATCAATCCCCACCGAAAGCCGCCACTAGTCGCTGACAAGCCCAATGTGCGCCGCGCGGCAGCTGATGAGGCCGCTCATGCACAAAGCCAGGAGCTTTTGACTACGCTCAAGCGTGGCACGGGCGCCCCAAAGACAAAACACTCCTTTCCTCTTACAAGCAGTCAAGAGTATGGCTGGGACCAAGAAGATGAGGTGAAACATTTGCTTTGCCCGCACTGCTTGTTGATCAGACCACGCCTCGGCCCTCTCATTTGGTCTTCTTTGATAGGATTTGGGTAAGCGCACGGGCGTTCAGCACAAACCGCGTACAACCTCTGAAATTACTCGATACATGGCTTCTGCTTGGAAACAAAAAGAGCAACAACGTTTGGGCGAGACATCGGCAGCACCTGCCCCACAATAAGCGCATGCGTTTGAAAATGAATCTAACTGGTTTTACAAATTTGCCATGCCTGCTGCGCACCGCTCTGTGTTTGGCCAAGGCAGCCACACACATACACACCAGAGACAGGGACAGAGCTAGGCAGAGGGACAGAGGGACAGGGACAGGGACACACACACACACACACACACACACACACACACACACACACACACAGGGAGAGAGAGAGACTAGATACAATTGTTATTGCGATGATTTTAGACGGGTCGCACAACACATTCACCATCGTGCAACTTCAAGCCGAGAAAAGAAAACACGATGGAGGCAAAATCCGTCCTTACTCGTTGCCGTCATTTTCAGCAAGCTTGGGTCGCTTGTCACCCGCGTCTCCTTCAGCTTGCAAACGCTTGGCGACAAGATGGTCCACATTTTCTACACGTGGCCATGAGAAAATGGGGCTTGGCATTTGTGAGTGCAACCAGCCAACAACAACAACAAAGAAAAAAAAAAAAAAAAAAAGATGCCACCTGGCACTTACCACCGCAAGGCCGCTCTAGCAACGGCTTGTGACTTTTGGCAGGTTTGATCAAATGACTTGTTGATGCTTGATCATGCCAGGCTGCCTCCCGAGCTTCACCCTAATGTAGATCCCGGTCTTTTGAGATGTAGAAAAGATAGCATCATGCCAGTCATCGCGCGCAGTGACAGACCTCAGCCATTCGTGTGGCAAACTGCGACATGGCTTGACTCATTTCAAAGGCTAGGGATGTCCTACACAGCGCATGGACTGAAGGTCAAAAACGCGCTCAAAATTACACCCACATATTGCATGTCAAGGTCGCCAACTACGCCAGAGCGCACGCACCGCATGGCCTGGCGCGACCACAGCTGATAGAAATGGCGTTGTAGCCCTTCTTGATGACGCTCATCAGCCACCCATGGGACATCAGTGTACTCACAATCCCAGAGGACCAGCTACAATAGAAACGAAACATGGGCGCGTGGCAACAATTCGATGGCAGAGTGAGCTGTCTGTGGGATGCACGCATTTGAGATCCTCTGCTAATTCAAGAAATACATTTTTTGTGCAGACCAACAGAAAGGTGATCTCCAAATGCCAAATAAAAGCCGACAGATGAACTCACGGGAAGGTCAGGGGCCATATCATATTGCGGCTTTCCTGGCAGCGAGACAACGTCCAAGAGACGGCTCACAATCTGGCCAGTGCATAGATGCGTTTGTGACAAGAAGAGTCAGGGTGCAGCAAGCGTGTAACTTTCCAGTAGAACGGCGTGGAACGTACCGAAGGAGACTCCAGTTGCTGGCCGATTAGAAAGAGGACGCTAACCATGCAACGAATCTAGCACGAGCATGGGCAACAATTTATGAACACCTTGCACTCAAAATCTCGAGATACGCATCAATGGAGAGCTCGACCTAAACAAAGGGAAAAAAGCTCTACCTGATGCCACAAAAATGCGCTACCATGGACAGTTATGCAGCACAGATTGTAGTATGGTGTGTTTCTAGACGATTGGTTCAAGCAAAACGCACAGCAAACGTGAGTGGCATTGGCAAACTCAGCAAGGCAGATCAATGCCGGTGCGGTTACACTGACGAGCTCTGCAGTGGTGTGGCATTCTGTGACACAGGCTCCACCGTGATGCGATGCACACGTCGCATAAAGTTGATGACACCACCAGCAACATCCGGCTAGACCAACGCCACAGCCCAATTAAGATAGGAAAACCTAGCAAGCTGAAGGGAAGGCCAACAAGCATGCTTGTGGACTCACCTTGCAAAAGTTGCGGAAGTCATGTTCCCCCTCAAAAAGTTGTGCGCCTTCTTGCATGAGCTAAGCACACCGATCCGTCGAACAAGCAGACCACAAGCAAAAAAGGGAAACGAGGCCGAACCCCAAAGTGAACCACCGCTGCCTCTCAGCAGTGGACGACGAATCGACAACAACAACGACGACGACAACAACAACAACAACCTCAAGATCATGATTTTGTTGAAAGAAGAAGTACTTGTAAGTCCGGCTTTTGCAACTAAATCTAAGGCACAGCAGCGACGAGCAAAAAATGAATACCTTCGAAGAGTGCACCGACATGGTCTGCATGAAGTGCAGGAAGCAGGTGAGATTTCAAGGTCTGTACCGTGCATCAAAATCCGCGGGCACGGGTGCCCATGCATACACTCGGATATCATGAGGCAATAAGCGATTGAGGACATGAATGTAGTCGATTTCTGCCACACCGAGTCAAGGCACATGCTGGGCGTCAGAGCTCAGGAGCAGAAAATATCAAATCAGCGGCACCCTGTTGAAACAACCGAGCAGGGTGGCCAACCTTGACGCGCCTTTTCGCGCTGAGCCTCTGCTTTCTTGGGTGGCAGGGGCTCGGTCCGCGGCTTGAGACTCGTGCACTCCTCCAGATTGGTGCGAACATAAAGGGAAGCCACCTGTCACAGCAACTAAATTAAAAAGTAGCATTGTAGCGGCTGACAGACAAGCCAAATAGCTACCTGGGAGAGCGCTGAGACACCTTTGTCTGTGCGTCCACATCGAGAGAATTCGCACGAGGTGCGATCATCGATCAAGCAGGCTCGTTGCAACGCATTGAAAAGGTGCTCCTGCCTCAGGTGGGCAGAACATACAGAGAGGCGTGAGTCGCTGGACATCGAATGAGGATGGACAAAGCAGCGCAAGCTCACCTCGACGGTATCAGCTTGGTGATCCTGAAAGGCCAAGCCGCGATAATGCTCGCCAAGGTAAGCAAAACGGAGCGCGACCTTGCGCTGATTGTGCCTGATAAGTGTTGGTGTTCATGTGAGAGCAAGGTCGGGGGCATGTTGATCGGGATCCTCACCATGCAGGCGGTAAGAACACGACTTACTGTTGAAATTGGAAAGCCTTGCGTGACCCCGCCGAGTTCTTTTTGGATTCGCTTTGATGCAGTTGACGCTGAAGACTGCGTACCATAACCAGCAGCTCCTATACCCCAAATTAAAGCCTTGCTGAGATACACGCGCTGTACGCACATACACACACACACACACACACACACACACACAACACCACGGAAGCAGCTCAGGGCACCGCACCTCCTTGGAGCGTTGAGCGAGCTGAGCCATGATAATGCTTCAAGCGCGAAAAAGAACGACACGTGATGACTTTCTTTTTTCCAATACAGTCACCGAGGGTATTTGTTACCTTTGGACATTTGTTACCAAAAATAAATTTTTTTTCCGTTCATTTTTCCCTCTGTTGGAGGCTGGAGCTGTCTGGCAAGGAAGATAAACGGCAGCGCCCTGGTGGCCACTCGATCAATCTTCATAAATCAAAAGGTGGGATACATTTTTTACCCCATTAACTATGGTTGAGCCAGTTTTCGAATGCTCATCTCCTTGGATTCCGCTGATATGTGGCTGCCATTTCGGGTCATCCCACCTCGGCTGGCAGACAGCCGCCATGCGGCATCGCCGGGGTAAACAGGCATGTACAGGGGTTGCAACGGCCGGGCATGATGAAAGCCGGGTTTGTCAAGGATATCGGTGCGCCTTGGAGTTGAAAACCGCTTCACTGTGTGACTCTTTGGTGTTGGAACGTTGACATTTCCCGGCATACAGCTGACAGTGGTATTTGTGCCTATAGGCCGAGCGTCGAGCCAAGGCAGATCGTGTATCCCAACTCCTACGTCAGCTCACGGCGAGTTCGATGACTTCCATTGAAATTCAGCCAGTATTTAGAGGTT